AAGCTGTTTTCTTCAGAGGACAATGAGTGCTCCTGGAGACAGTGTGCATGCCATGCAGGTACCAGGAAGGCTATTGCTTGTGTCTACTCCACAATATGAAGGGGCAGAATCTCGTATTAACCTTTTTACAGCCATAGCTATTTTGGCTGGGCACTGTAGCTTGCACCTGCAAAAGCAAGCAGGCTCTTGAAAGTATCTTGATGAGGCTTGTAATGTGGAAACAATACTTTATTTACAGGAACTTTATATAAAGAACTTCTTACAGTAAAGAAGTAATAGTCTTTCTACTGCCCTTTGCAGAGGTTTGCTTTTGAATATACAGACATGACTCCTATTTGTTTCAACAGTGAGTGAATCTATATGTTTGAAAGCAGAATTTGACCTACAGTTCTAAAATTTCCCAACTCTTGGTGAAGAGTCTTTCTTCAGAAACACATTTTCTCTTTGCAAGGATAGTGGTAAATTATGAAGTTTTTTTTATTTGTTTGTGGAACTACTGTGGTATTTTTCAAAATCTGGGAACAATATGCTGTCCACATTGATTACTGTAATGCAATGTTGTTTTTCTTTCTAAAAATATCTTACTCTAGGTAATTTAAACAGTCATACTGAAGGCATATTATATTGCATCTGTTAGAAAAAAATATGGGAAGTATGTTAGTAACTTAAACACAAAGGCATGGTGACAATTTGAATTTTGTTTTTGCATGTTCAAAGTCCATAGCTCTTAAAAATTCTTACTTTGGACACTTGTTGACAGCTTGACAAGAAAATGTGTTCCTTATGTAAACAAATCATATAAATTAATACTGCTACAACATGATCTTCCATTGTAGCTGTATATCTTCCATGCCAGAAGAGATTGCATTTCAGTGATGGATGAAATGTTGTAAAATTAAAATAAAATATATAAATATGTACACTTTTATGCCATCATTGAAATCTAGCTTTTTCTAGCTTGGGACATTGCAGCCCTATTTTACCACCAGTATCCCCACATATCTAAGAATGAATGGTGAAGAATAACTTAAACCAGGGGTCAGTAATCTAAGGCATGCAGGTCTGATCCCATTCACAGAGCCACTGGGTATAATCTGCAGAGCTGGGTGGCTTTGACAGCGATTTAGTGGCTTGGGCTTCCACTGTGTTTTGTGGCAGAGGGCTTCACCATCACCATGTGGTTGCTGGGAGGTAGGACTGAAGCAGTGGTCGTAGCAGTGGCAGGGGCCAGGTCCTTGTGTTAGCCTTCCTCAGACTTGCACTGAATCATTCTGGTCTGGTATCAGAAAGTGTTGTTGACTGCTGACTTAGCCTGTTGAAATTGCAGCTGGAAATATGAATATTTACCTTCTGCCATTTTGAATTGCAATTTGGACAAAGCACCGGAGCTGTTTTTTAAAAAGAATTCTATTATCAGACAACACAACCACATTCTGCAGTGTAGGGTTGTTGAATCCAGTTACTGACCATACCTGAACTGAGAAAATTGGACAACATAATGGATCAAATGGTAGGACTACAGCTGTGGATGGCATTGCTGGCATTCTAAGGTGGAATCATTGTGATGACAACTGATTCTTTAGTTACATTTGTGCCAGTGAAATCTTTGTCTCTCTTCTGCTATGAGGAAGTTTTTTTGGAGTGGTGTCTTCATTTAATAAAAGAAATAATGGAACTTTTCTTTCCTCTTCTAAATAGATAATATGCAACCCTTTATCAATGTTACATCAAATTACTCTTTTTTAAGATCCTCTAATACTAAGATAAAAGGTTAGCTAAGTACAATTTAAGAATGAATACCGACTCCAGGGGCCACCCCTTTAAAAATTCTTTGTGGACTAATATAGAAAAGTAACTTATGGGACTATGGGAAAACATGGAATAATGGTAGATATGAATATGATAATATAGTACCTTGATTGTGAGGGAAGAATTCTTGAACTGAAGAAAGACAGGAAACCTAAGGATTTAAGGAGGTATCAACAAGTCATAAAAGGAATATGATTTTATAAAAAATATTTACATAATTTGGTGGAGAGATGAAACTCAAGGGCATGGAAGATGAAGAAGGTTATACCACTAAAAGCATATTCAAGGAGCAGAGATAATACAGAAAGAATACATTTTAGGATACAATGGTACAAATAGTATGTACCATATTTACTAGAATAGAAGATGAGATTTTTTTTTTTCCCCAATCAACTTGGAGAAAAAGCCCCTCATCTTATATTTGTATACCAGAAACGATCCACCCCCACCCCTATTAGTACATTGTCTATCATTAAATTGCTGCTATAAGCAGCATGTACTCAGTCATGGAAACCAGTTATGAAGTTGATTGAATGCAGTTCATGCTGAGCAAGCTTATAAGACGCATGGCACATATTGGGCAAAAACACAGATGGTAACTTACCACAAGGCCAGGTTAATGCAGCTCATCTGAATAAGACATACTACCCATTGTGCTCAGTTCCCCTCAGTGCTGTGTTGTGAGGCCACCATGGCTTGAAATCCTGTTGAATCCGCTGGGGCCCAGCCCAGTGAACTATATAGTAAGTCATGAGCCTTTTGACTTTGGACTATTATCAGGCATAATTTGTACTATGTATAAGTAGGTATAAAAGTGCTACACAAAAGTGTGTTTATGTAGTAGCTGTCTTAAAACTTGCAGCAGTTTGCAATGACCTAAAATGCATCAATTCTGGATGAACTAAGTCTATAGGTACCCACAGTAATTTGCATGTATGCAAATGATCATGGGCATATTTGTTTCAAATCAGTGGTTTTTTGATCTCTCGTTTCAAGTGGCACAGGAAAACCTTGTTAAAGTGGAGTGGGGGCAGGCAACTGCTGTGGGTCTAGGTTAAGGCCAGTGTTAGACCCACAGCAGTCTCCTGTTCCCCCTCTGCTTGCCCTCAGCCACTTCTGCCCCCTCCTGCCTCTTTTCCCCCTGCTTTATTGTCACATATAGCTCAGCTCACTCCCATGTGTTGTGCTGGGGAAGGGAGCAGAGCCTGAGCAGGATCTGACAGTAAGTGGGGGGAGAGAAAAGACTGGGGGCAGGAAGGCTGCAGGGGGAAGAAGTGTGTATGTGTGAGGGGAATCTATAATTTGTCCATATATAGAATCTAATTATTGGGGGGTTGTCTTCTATTCAGGGTCATCTTAGATTTGGGTAAATATGGTATTAAAAGTCTGGAAATGGGTGTTAAGGTGAAGTGAGAGACAGAGAGAGGTGTCATAGGTTGGAAACTTAGGGGCTTTGTAGCACATTGCATTGTGAGCTGCTCAAATGCTGATCAGTGTTAGTGCTAGCTTGAGTTTGAAGCAGTCACACTTCAGGCCAGCAGGGGCCTGGAGGACTGAAAGGTAAAATTCCCTGTGCTCCCCACCCATTGTGGACTTCCCTCCTGCCCTTTGGGTCTCACACCCACAGCTTGTGACTGCCAGTGCTGTCTGCTCCTGGGGGCCAGGCAGAGAAGGATTAACTTGCCTGACCTGCCATACCCCCACCACTGCTGCTGTTGGGCTGCTGCTCTTCTTCTAGGTTGCCCATCAGCAACAGTGGCAGGCAGGTTAATGCTTCCCTGTTAATGCTGTGATAGCACACGCAGCCACAAGTAAGTGGGGGAGAGGTGGGAGGGACAATGAATCTGGGGATCTGGGAAGGGCAGGGGAAGTGGTCAGTGAGCCTGATCTGAGCCAATATGGGAGGAAGGATATTCAAATTAACATGTAGCCTAGAGTAGCTACATGTTAATGTAACACCAGTTGGATAACACGGGCCAGAGATGAACCTAGGCTGGAGTGGGCTAACTTTAAGCCACCTAAAGAATGCTTAAAATTAGCTTCAGATGTTAACCTGCGGACAGTTCAGGGGTTAAGAGCTCCAGGAGCTACCTAAAATTCATAAGGCCCTAGAAGACTTATGAATGAGCTGATGACTTTTAGAGGAAAGAGGCAGATGGAAACGGTGATTAGTAAGAAGGTTGAGTTCGTGTCTGAACTTGAGATGGAGATGGATAGAAATAGCTGGATTTGTAGACTAATGAGGCTTAGAAGTTCAGAAAGGAGGAGGCTAGTAGTGCTTAAGACAGCTGACAAATGGCGTGAAATGAGAATAGATAAATGGTCCTTCGGTGTTTCAAGAAGGATGCTCTTGATGGCCTTGGTGAGGTAAGCATCGGTGGAATGGAACAGTTGGAAGCTAAACTGGGGAGGATGATAGAGTGAACCAGAGGGAAAGTCTAAGCAGTGGGAGAAGACAATCTGCCCCCAAATCCTTGGAGAATAAGATGAGAAAGATATGACAACACAAGAGTGCGTTGTTAGGAAATGAGAACGAGCCAGATGAAAATTAGCAGATAAAAATAATTTGGGAAGGAGTGGATGAGAGGCAGAATGTATTATGGCAATAGACAGGAAGGCAGAAGGTCAAAGAACTAGGAAGATGGTAGGAATGAAATGTTGGCACTGCAGCAGTTGGTAGGTGGTGAGCTCAGAAAGAATGGGGAGAGGAGGAGGCTGACATGGCAAAAGCGAAGGGCAAAAGCACTTCCTAGATGTTATCATTTTTTGGGGGGTGGGGTGGAGCAAGATCATAGGCAGAAGAAGGCCTAGAAGGAAGACAGGATTGTGGAGATCCAGGAGTCAGGAAGGCAAGTAAGAGGTCTTTATTAATAAAGAACAAAAGAGGAAAAGAGAATGAAGTCAGTGGAAGAAGATGAGACAGTTACTGGATTTATGAATAGCCCACTCAATGTTTGTTAGTATAAAGCAGATGATAACATCATGTGCTTGAAGTAAAAGATTAATTTTCACCAATATCTAGAGGTGAATGTTGCATGCAGGATTCACCTGGCAAATATCAGGAGGTCTGGACATGTTAAATGTCTGTGTGCTTGTATAGAAAAATTATATATTTTTATTTTCATGCAAGCTGCAACCTTTTTCACCCTGTTCCTGATTTTCATTTTGTTCGATGATTTTTAATATTTCAGGTTCGTGGGAGTAAAGATGAAGTCCTTTATGTTCTGGATGCCAGCAATCCGCGACATTCTAACTGGCTGCGTTTTGTCCATGAGGCACCATCACAAGAACAAAAGAACCTGGCTGCCATCCAGGTAGATTTGTTGAGCCTTACCATTCATCTTCTGTTATTAGTCTAGTTAAGGTCTGCTCTTTTTTCTAGGCTTTATCTCTGGCAAAATTTGCAGATTACATGAAATACAGCAGCTTCACTGTTTTCCCAGCACCATTTTAGAAGTGAGCTTTTGTCCTCAAAGATGTACCATAAATAAATATCTAAAATGATAACTGGACCAAGGACTGAGAGCATTTTTTAAAAAAATCGAATGTTCTTTGAAAGGTTTTAATTAAATAGCTCTGATTGAATTATATAAACTATGTTGGTTTGATCTATAGAATTTGAAATCCTGTATTTCTAAAAGCTCATTTAAATTTATTTTAATTTATATTTGCAGAAGTATTCATATAATATTGCTACAGTTATTTGTTTTTTCATGATAGCCATATTCATCTAGGCTTCACTTCATTGATACCATTCCCATAATTGAAGACAGACATGGATTAGGGTTGAGATGGATCAGGGTAATTATCTTACAGGCTTATCCAGGTTCTCAGTAGAATTACTGAGCATATGGATGAGCAAGGAAAGCAGAATCAAGCCTTTATTTTTAAATTATTTTAAAAGTAAATAGTCAAAATACATGCAAAATATTCCACTGGAAGTCTGGCTCAGTGGGTCTGCTAGACCTCCAAAATGTTTAAGCAGAAATCAAGTGAAATATCATAACGCTTTAATTTTCTTCATTAGTCTTGGGTACAGAAATGAGCTGCATACTTATTTGTTGCAGATAATAAAAATGAGGACTTCTCAAAGATTGAAAAATCAAAGACCAATTGCTGAAAAAAACTATTTAATTAGAGTGTGGTCCATTTAACTGCATAGCCTTGCGACTAAAAAAATGTTATGTACTTATGCAAAGTATGAACTTACTCAAACTTAATGTAATTAGTCCTGATTGAGTACACAACACTATCAGTGCCATGGTTATTAGCAGCCCAAAAATGATTGGATCCCAACATTTTCAAGACTTCTAATGCAAAAATCCTATTAGAAACCTTGAAAATAATGGGGATTAGGTACTGTTGGGACTAATATCTTGCCTTATTTTCAAGACTTCTAATAGTAGCCTTGAAATTGTTAACTCCTCTCAATTTCAAGACTTTTAGTAGCAGCACTTCTCCATTTTTGGCACCAAAGATTATGCAATTAAACAGAGTACTGCAATTACATTACAAAGCAAACAGTGAGGCTAAATTGTACTATGCACTCAGGTGGCTAATACACTTTATATGCATCTAACCAATGTATGTTTTTAATGTAAACACTGGGCAAAAAAATTGGGACTGGCATTATGTATGCGGTTTGGTGAATTAACATACATTCAAATGGAGATGAATGTAGTCTCCAGTCCTGTAATATCCATGTTGACTGCAGGGTATTCTTGGAGTCTATTGGCTTGAATGCAACTCCATGTGGGTGCAGCAGACCACCCATGTACTAGATGTTGTGGAATAGAGAAAAAAATCCCCAGCTTTAAATAGATTTATACAGGCCTGCTGAAGTACTCAATGGCTTTTTTAATTCAGTCTTTACAGGTAAGGTCAGCTACCAGACTACTGTAGTGGGCAGCAGTTGGGGGAGGAGGCAAGCAGCAGATAGTGGCAAAAGAACAAGTTAAGGTCTGTTTAGAAAAGCTGGACATGTACAAGCCCATGGGGTCAGATACAATGCACTTGAGGGTGCTGAGGAAGTTGGCTGATGTGATCGCAGAGCTGCTGGCCACTACCTTTGGAAACTTGTGGCAGTCAGAAGAGGCCCTGGATGATTGGAAAAGAGCAAATATGGTGCCAATCTTTTAAGAAAGGAAAGGAGGAGGATTTGGGGAGCTACCAACCATACAGCCTCGCTTCAGTCCCTGGAAAAATCAAGGAGCAGGTCCTCAAGGAATCTGTTTCTAAACACTTGGAGGAGAAGGTGATTAGGAATGGTCAGCATGGATTCACCAAAGGAAAGTCAAGCCTGATCAACCTGACTGCCTTCTATGAAAAGATGACTAGCTTTGTGGATGTGGGGAGAGCAGTGGATGTGATATGCCTTGACTTTAGCAAGGCTTTTGGTATGGTTTTCCACAACCTTCTTGCAAGCAAGCTAAGTAAGTCCAGCTTATGGACTTTGGATGAATGGCCTGTAAAGTGGATAGAAAACTGGCTGGATCATCAACCTCAAAGGTGAGTAATCAATGGCTTGATATCTAGTTGGCAGTTGGTATCAAGTGGAATGCCCCAGAGGTTGGTCTGAGGGCAGTTGTATTCAATATTTTCATCAGCTGTCTGGTAGGTGGGATGGAGTGCACCCTTAGTCAGTTTGTAGATGATACCAACCTGGGGGGAGTAGTACATACACTGGAGGGGAAGGCTAGGATTCAGAGACACCTAGACAAATTGGAGGATTGGACCAAAAGAAATCTCATGAGATTCAATAAGGAGAAGTGCAAAACCCTGCATTTAGGACAGAACAATCCTACATATTGGTACAGGTTGGGGGCTGAGTGGCTAAGCAGAAGGTCTGCAGAAAAGGACCGGGGGGTTATAGTGGACAGTAAGCTGAGCCAACAGTGTGCCCTTGTTATGAAGAAGGCTAGCAGCTTAGAAGGAATGTCACCAGTGGATTGAGGGACATGATTCTTCCCCTCTGTTTGGCACTCGTGAGGCCACATCTGGAGTACTGTGTCCAGTTTTGGGCCCCCCACTGCAGAGAGGATATGGAGAAATTGGAGAGGGTCCAGTGGAAGGCAACAAAAATGGTTAGAGGGCTGAGGCACATGACTGAGGAGAGGCTGTTGGAACTGGGCTTATTTAGTCTGGAGAATTGAAGACTGAGGGGGGCCTGATAGCAGCCTTCAGCTGCCTGAAGAGGGGTTCAAAAGAGGATGGAGCTGGACTGTTCTCAGTGGTGGCAGATAACAGAACAAGGAGCAATGGTCTTAAGTCGCAGCAAGGGAAGTTTAGGTTACATATTAGGAAAAATTTTCTTACTAGTAAGACAGTAAAGCACTGAAACAGGCTAACTAGAGAGATTGTGGAATCTCCATCCTTGGAGCGTTTTAAGATCCAGGCAGACAGAGCCTGGTTTTGATGATCTAGCTGGGGATGGTCCAGTTTTGAGTAGGGGGTTGGACTAGATGACATCCTGAGGTCCCTTCCAACTCTATTTTTTTATGATTCCCACGAACCTATTTTTTACGATTCTAACAAAAATATACATTCTCTTATTAAACTATAATATTGAAAATATGAGAGTAGTACAGCTGGACAAAATTCTTCATGTGGGTAATTTTATAGAAAATAAATGCATTTTCAAATCGTCTGAGTTTATTTGTAGATTTCTGCCAACTATTTTCAAATTTGAAATGTGAAACCTTTAATTTCATTTCTTAAAATTCACCTGTTCATTTTGAAGTGGCAAATTTTAAAACAAAAACATAATAACCATAAAGCAATTGAAAAATCCTTCAGATGATCAAAACTTTTTTTTTTATTGGCAAGGGATTTTTTTTTTTTCAGATCAAGTTAAACAAACTTGTCTTTCAATATATACTGGTTTGCATACTGAACCAAAATACTTAATCACTTGCACTGCTCGATTTTGTAAAATTCCTTTCTTTGTCCACAGAAGGGATTTACTCCTCTATAATCTCACATTCTTGGTGACTCCAATGTCCATGTTGATGACATATCCATTCCCTTCGCTGCACGTTTCCTTGCCTTTTCCTTTTTATTCAACCTAGTTCATCTCTCCCACTGCCAATGGGCTATTCACTCAACTAGAACTTCATCAAGAACTGCTCTCTGTGTGATCTCTGTGTTGCTGAATTCCACGTCTCTGACATAACTTGGTATTGTTTAGTATCATCTATCAACATCTCCCATCATGTCCTCAAGTTAGCCTTTCTGTGACATTTGTTGCTCTCATCTCTCTTTTGCCTTACCTTTTCTTCCACTGTTATAGTAGTCAATTTTTTCCATTCCTTGTTCTCCACCATCCTTGACTCTCTTCTTCTATCTCTTACCACAATGTCTGTTTTGTCATTTCTTCGCTTTGGCTGAGCCCCAGAATCCTTCTGTGCCAGAAAGCATCTCTAGGACGAAATTCTAAGACCATGTAAACTTTTTAATGGAAATGTTGTTTCCTGCCTCCTTCAATTCTGGCTTCTTCCTAGCTAAACAACAAAGCTTTTCCAATTTAAATAAATTCCTCACCCACAATATTACCCAGCTGTTCTCCATCTCACTCATCAGGTCATTTCCTCCTCCTACCTATACTTCTTCCTCCACACAGAATTTCACTAATTTCTTCCAAAAGAAAATTGATAAAATACCCAGACTTTCCTGCTGTCCTCAGCTTGCCTTCCTTTCCTACAGATGCAGAGGTTTATTGCTTGCATTCTTGCTCTAACTGCTTCACTTGCACCAGAAATCCCATCCTGTCTCTTTGCCTAATATCCCTTGCACTCACTCTTTTTTCTTCTTGCATCCTCTGCTCCTAAAATTACCAGCATGATTTCCAGTGTCAAAAACCTTCCTTGACTATGGGTGTCTTTTCAACTGCTTTCCATCCTTTCATCTCTAACTTTACTGACTGTATAGTGTTGCTGCCTGGAATTCATAGCCTGAAAAGCCATTCAATCTTGCTTGCACCTCTTGAATTCAACTATAATCAAACTCTTGCCAAAGTATCTCCATCTGCTTTATCTGTCTGCGATGCTTCTTCTTCAAATACTGTCTTTGCTTCCATAGACCGTGAGTAGACGAAACGAGAGGCATATGTGCACAACCCTTTAAAGCGGGCTATATGCTTTTGCACCACCTTAATGGTATCGGTGTTTGCATGCTTTGGCGGCATATTGTGCATTAATTCCATCTGCTGTAGGAAATTCGGCTGTGTAATGCGTCTTAAATGACTTGTGGCGCAGCAAGCTAGAACTCCTTCGAGGAGTTTTAGTTTGCTGCCCTTACAGCTGTGGAGCGAAGTACC